ATTTCATTCCCCTTCTGAAGTGGTCATGATCTATTCCAACAACTTAACCATGGTCTCTTACATTACCTGGCAAGGGGGACACCTGATTTCAGCCCCTTGTATTGAAACATTGGATCTTCTGTTTTGGGCTCACAGCCATCATGTTATCCTGCAAGCTTGTCATATCCCTGGTGCTCTCAATCTTGTGAAAGATTGGTTATCTCATCTCAACAGGATTCTTCCCATAGAGTGGTCCCTCGATCCACAGGTCTTCCAGTTGCTATGCTTTCGGTTGGGTACACCCTATTAGGATGTGTTTGCTACCCATTGGAACACCAATTTCTCTCTATATCAGTTCATATCCTTCAGCATTGGCAGTAGATGCTTTCAGCAAGGATTAGAAGGACCATTACATTTATGCCTATTCTCCTATCCATCTACTTTCAAGATCATTCAAAACACTCCATATTGAGTCCATCTAGTGGTGCCATTCTGGCCTGCTCAGACTTAGTTCCCATTACTACAGCATTTACAGTTGTCACCACTGTTACCTCTTCCTCCCTTTCCATCTCTCCTTCATCAACCACATGCATCCATGTTTCATCTGTCTGTCCCCACATTTTGGCCTCACACTTGGCTTTTGTCTGGTCCCTTGCAAGAAGGACTGGTCTTTCCACATAGGTAGTGTCCCTTATTTCCTGTTTGGTCCTTCCTCCCTCAGTATCCATGTATCAGTGCAAATAGTGTATTTTTCCACCATTGGTCACTTTGTCATAGCCTCATTCTTTCTCACCCCACTATCTCTCACCTTTCCAACTTTTTCACATGGCTATTAGACAGTGGTTTTTCTGTGTCGACCATTGCAGGCTACTGGGCAGCATTGTTCTCTGTCTTTATTTTTTCAGAGTTTTGCCATATTTTTTCCTCTCCTGTCATCTCCCTTTTGTTTTATTCCTTTCATATCTTCTGCTATCCTAAACTCTCCCCTCTGCCAGATTGGAATTTGAATGTAGTCCTACATGCTCTGACCCATCCTCCTTTGGTGGATTGTTCCCTGTACCACCTTTCCTCGAAAACCTATTTTCTCATCCTTTTAGCCTGTGGGTATTGTGGGTCAGATGTGTTTGCTATCGATGTCTCACGCATCCTCTACCACAGCACCTATGTCTTTTTTTTTACCTTCAAAAGCCTTCCTTCCCAAGACCTCCACAACTCGTGATGGTAATTTTTCATTCACCCTTTTATCCCCACCCTCCATTTCTCATTTGTTTTCCCATTCCAATCCAGATCAACTCCTGTGTTCAATCCGAGCATTATAAGGTTATGTGACATGGCATATTTTTTGTGGTTCCATTTCCCAACTCGTTATTAACTGGAATCCATCCATATCCTGAGACCTTTCCCTGATTACGCTTACAGGTTGGATTTGCCAACTTATTAATTTGGCTTATTCTTCCTTGTCCTTCTATGACCGTAGCCTTTTCCAGGTTTCCTCTCACCAGATCTGTCATCTCACCATGTCTGTGGCTGCACATTTGTGTCATCCTTTGGAGGAGATCATTCTGGCTGGCATATGGTCCAGTCTTCACATTTGCATTTAACATTATCTAAACCATTTGGCCATCTCCTCCTTGACCAGATTTTGTCTGCCTCCTGTTCCAGTCTTACAGACTATGATGCAACTCTAAGTGGGTAAGTTTACTTTACTTATCAATATTTCTATTACATGGTCTTTTTTCTGTTGCTTCTTGTTGGATCCCATTCTCTGGTGAGTGTTGTCTGTGTGGCAGGTTAGGTCTTGAATACCCATTGTTCAGATGAAGTGTTCCACAAGACCACTTGTAGGTTCTTTCTTGCAGTGCTGTGTATCATAAACATGTTCATTCTGAACCTTACACTCATGGACTAGCATGAGTAAAACCAAAGGGTATTGCTTCCCATCCCTGTTGCTTCTTCAGTTGAATAAACCAGGAATGGCCTGCTTTTAAGTATAAGATTTTACAGTCACCTATTGCATTTTCTCTAGTACTGTGTTCCTCCAGACTCTAATGCATTTCCCTCCTGTTCCAGTGGAAGATGGGAGCCATTACCTCCTACCAACTCCTAGACACTGGGGTGGTGGACCATGGAGGCTTCCTCCTGAGTGTGCTCAATACCACTCAGTTGAGAGTAGGGTGTTAGTGTTTTGTCAGTGTAAATGGTGTACAATCCTCCATGGACCAGATGTGGAATTCCTGTTGCCACCTGGTCAAGGACTGGAGATGATCAACCATAATGCAGTTCACACCTCCAGCTGGGATTCCTCATCCTACTACTGCCTGGATGTTGGGTCCTGGGTGGTATGGTGTTGGATTAGAGCTGGACCAGCCAACATGAGGGGTTGGGTTCTCAGAATGGATGTGCTCCTTCCCTTTTGGTTCCTGAGTCTGAATTGAATGGTAGAGGATGTACTCCTACCTTGGGCCAGATGATCCTTTCCCAGTTTTACTGGTTTTGAATGGAGTTGATCTCCTGATTATAGTCTGATGTGCCCTAGCCATTCTACACCAGGGGCATGTCTGGTTTCAGTTGGTCTAGGACTTCCTCCTTCTTGGGGCGACCCATTCTCTGATTTTGGACTGGAGTTGACCTCCCATTTACAGTTTGAATACAAATGGTTGAGGACACTCCTCCTAGCAGGGACGGGATGTTCCTTTCCCAATTCCAATGGTTTGGGGCTAGAGTTGATCTCCTGACTACAGTTGTATGTGCCCTGTCCACTCTATACCTGGGGCATGTATGTCTAATTCTCGTATGTGCCTTTTTTTGCCACCCTCTTTAGCAACACTGTCATACTTCATGGGCGAAGAGTATACCTGGTTCAGATTTGGTGTGGTCTCCCACAAGTGTTTCCTCTTCACAGAGATTTAACCTCCATGGTTTCTCTTTAGATACATTTGAAGGAGGCTCAGCTGGGTCTTTTTACACCAATCCCTCCACTAGATTAATGTGGTATTCTAGCTGTTACATGTGAGGAGGTAAGGTATCATGTCAGAAGTTATAGTTTTCCTATACAGAAAATGTATTTCTGATAGATACCTCTTCTCACACTTCCAACCCTTCCTCCCCAGTCCTGGTGTTTTGTTCTTGGTGCCTAATCTTGAAGGGAGATTAGACTCTGTAATCCAGGGGGAGATGGCTGCACCAGGAGAGTGTGTCGCACTCCTATTGGTAGAAGTTTGTCATATGCTTTTGCATGCTGCAGCGCAGCTTAACCGTATTAAACATATGGAGGGTAGGTGGGAGCATTAATCAAGAAAAGCTATTATGTAATGGAAGGAAAGTATCTACTGGAAATACATTTTCTTTGTAGGAAAATTATAACATTAGAAACTTCAGTGACCATAACTAAGGGGGATCCTACAAAGGAATTTGCTAACAGGAGGTACTACTAATAAACATATTAAACTCTTGATATTTTACAGAAGGGGTGAGACTTTTTTAATTAATATTATTTTATGCTCCTAACTTTTTATTTTATTAATGATTTGTCATTGATTTCATATATATCCATTTTGAATCTGAAACAGGGTGGGCAAAGCCCACTTGTGTCACCAACCCTGAGTTTTTTAATTAGTATTAATTTTTGTTCCTAACTTTTATTTTATTAATGATTTGTCATTGATTTTATATATATCAGTTTGGAATCTGAAACAGGGTGGACAAAGTCCTCTCACGTCACCGACCCTGAGTTTTAGTCTTTTATTCTGAGAAAGAATATTGACTCATTGAATAGTTCAGTGGAAGGCTGCTAGGATTATTATGTAGCTGGAAGGGTTACCTTATGGGAATTAAGATAAAATCTTGTAATTTATTTTTCTTTTGATCTCATTGAAGTTTACAAAGTTATTTGGTGGATCAATATAAGCAAAAGGCCACTGATTATTTTGTGCTATATTTGAAGACAATAGGATGAGAAGCACTTGTTTGAATTTGGAAAAGACAGCTTAGTTTCTAATCAAGACAGTTTTATTTCTTTAGTTGCATGATTAGCTTATGGAATGATTTGTCATCCATAATATTGAAGTCAGCACCTTATAATGTTCAAGAGGGAAATTGATTATTTGTTGAGAAGTGTAGGGTGGGTTTAAATTTTTGTTTTTTCTCAAGAGTTAGTGTGCAAGCTGCAGAAATAGCTTTTGAGGAACCAAATGTTCCCTAGTTTTCTTTGTGTTAAAAAGCCATATAGTATGTTAATAACACCCACTCTGCTGGCACATGTTGAATTTGAAGTTAAAAATAACTGCAAAGAATAATTTTGCATATTACAGATAAACTACAAATGAAAATGCTTAAAATTTACATTAAAATCATCCTTTTTTATGTAGTTTTAAGGTAAAATATATTTTTATGCATTATTCACTTCCATTGTTTATATATTTAAGATGTTTAATATTGTCATTCCTTCTTGGAAGTGATTTATTTCACTCTGATTTTATATGTAAACTAAAAAATTACACTGCAAAAAAGATGAATTTCTGTAGCTTTTTTGTTGTGAACCAGTAATTTGTGCTTTTGTTTTAGGTGTTCTTGATAAGGGTGAGCTGCTAAGTTGCTGTAAGCAGTTCTGTGGTCTTATAATTGTTCTTGATTTACCAGTTCCAAAAAATTATGAAATTCCAAATGTTTAAACATTTCTTTGCATTAGAAAGGATTTGTATACAGAGAAAATATGACCAGACATGGGTGTCCAGTGTGATTTAGAACAAACATCTTACATGTCTGTTTAAACTTTGAGACAATAAGATATGTAATGGATCAGGATGTGATAAACCATATCTTGAGTCTGAAACTCTTGCCTTACATATTGTTTAGAATAAAATCTTAAAAAATAAAAGCAGCCTGAATAATTTACAAAATTAACCTGACATTTTTTCATTTTACCTGCAGCTCATATTAAATATCATGATTAGCTTGTATGTTTCCATATGTTTTTCTAATATGTGTATAGAATTTATTTCTCTGAGATTTCATTATTTCAGAAACCCTTGTAAGTTTTCTTATTGGTGAAAGCAAACTTGAACAACACTTGGAGCAATATGCACCAACTGAACAAAATATTCCTAGGGCAAGGACTGGTTTAACAGATTCTAAGCGTTATTTACAGTCTTGTCTTGGGGATCAGGGAAGAAATGTGAGTAATGCATTAACTTTTTCTTTTAACCATAAATTGAAAAAGCAGTCTAACATTGTATCTTTTCTGATTGTTCATTCCAGCAGATTGTATCATGTATGACTGATGTATCTGGTTTTATTTGATATTTTTGAAATACAATGAATTTTTTTTCCAAAGTTTTAGATGTTCATGGAAAAATGTTAGCCATAATATCCTGAGAGATTATTTTGACACCTCAATTCTATTAAAAAAAAGGCAGAAGATAATATAACCATTCATAACTGAAACTTTTTATGTTGAAAACAAACATGCTATAATTTAATTTTGTAGATGTACTTAACCACCCTATTTTATTGCAGATTTGGTTTTTAAGTAAATGATAAATATCTGTCAGGACTTTATACAGTGTCCAGTTGTTTTTAATGTACTTAGATTTTGTGACCATTACATCTTAAGTCATATTTACCACTTACAACTGTTGACTTTGTTACATCTCAAGATGTTTTAACCCTAGTTACAGTTGTTGAATTTATTACACCTCAGATTCTATTTTACTCTAGTTAAACCTGGTGACTGATGCACATTTGCTTTTGGCTAAGCTTCTGTATGCCCAAGGCTCATATGAAGAATCTGTAAGCCAACTTGGATTGGGAGGATTAGATGGATTGACTCAGAAACAATTGTCTAACCGAAACCTAAAAATTGTAGCAGAGTCTTTTGCTGTAAAAGGTAAAAACATCTCTCATATTTTATGGTGCATTACACATTATGCAGGTGATTTTTTGTTTGTGTGACATTACAATAAGGTTGCTACTAAAGTTTAACAAATTGTTCTTTACTGGCTCCATACAGATCTCTGATAACAATAGTACAGCATCTCAACTGCACTCATTGTATGTTTCACGCTGCTGCTAAAGAGGCATTTTGCTCAGTACTAGAAATCATTGGTAAGCTGGACATGCAACACACTCAGCTGAAGTTATGTACCATAATAATTGTTATCTTATAAATGACTGGTATAAGTAGTATTTTGACCAAGGCTTTGTGTATTGCATGCCAACCAAACATGATGATATCTGGTATTCAGTGGAAAACCTCATTGGTAGTGTCAAGTGGTACACAAAGTATGCAGTCAAAATGTCATTGTGTTTTTCTTAGTGGAAAAACCTGTAATATAGAACCAATAACCCTTTCCTGGCAGGCTCATGCAACTTGTTGAAATCTGTACAACAATACATACAGTAACTGAGTCAACGGTGCCCTCAAAGCATATTACAGTTTCTTTGGGAGACATGCACAATCCTTTGGCAAAATTTTCATTCAGCATGAAATATCCTAATCCTTGAGAACAGAAGCAAAGTATGATGTACATTTAAAAAATGTTTAAACCTTTTAATTATACATTTTAAACCATAACTATTACATAATTACCTAAAATGTAATAGTAAGACCAAAATACAATTTAAACTGTGTTTCTAACTATAATGTATTTAGGTAAGAAACAACCATAAATGCTATAGTCCATCAAGCAGCCAACCATACTATGGTCAATTTCATATAATCCATGATGATAACTGTGCACCAAGTTCAAAATAACCATTGTCAGTTCATAGTATAAGATGACCTCTTCCTAATGTCTATACACATTATGTATACATCTGCATGGAGGCTATAAAGCTTAAACAAATCTGTTGAAGGAGGGTGTGGCAGCTGTCAGGGGTTGAAAAAAATTATTGCTTGCTTCAACTCTATTTCATTCAGAGAACTTTGAAACAAACGAGTCAGAAGGTTATCTAAGCATCTCATTGTACATCTTCACTACTACCATGGTATTATTGAAAATACAGAGTTCCAAAGTAGATAATTTTCATAGCTCATTTGGTCTATGACAATACCTCTGAAGTTTAAGTAGTTTTTAAAGGTTTATTTTGAAATAAAGGACTTAAAGCTAGGATAAAATAAAACCTCAAATCATAACACACATTATAATATTCATTTCATTCACATACATTGATATTAAAGATGTTTAATTAAATTTGGAAGATAACACAGTAACTTGCACAGAAAAACATTTGAATGGACTCCTGTTGCGAAAAGGATAAAGAAAGATTTTAAAAAAATTATTATCAGTTTTATTGTGAGGCAAAGATTTTTTATACTTCATTAATACCCATTTATAAAGTACACTTACAATGATAGTGTCAAAACTAACAACCATTACTAAAGTATACTATAAAATGATACTCGGTGTCAAAACTAATAAGTTATAGTAAATTATAAAAAACCTTTGCATCACAATAAGACTGATAATGTTTTTTTACAAATCTTTCTTTATTAGCCCTATACTTTAGGTTTTTTTAGTTAGAAGAACATTATATCATTTTGACTGCATTACACAGCTAACCAGTCATTTTGCTCAGTATCAGAGATCATCAGGTTGGATGGGAATTCAAAACACAAAGCCTTGTCAAAATGCTTTCTATATTAGTCATTTATAAGATATCAATTATGATGATGATAGACAACCTTTTGAACAAGGGTTTGTGTGTTGCTTGTGCAGCTGACCTGATATCTCTGGTATTGAGTGAATTGCCTCTTTGGCTGTTATATTGCTACTGGGGATCTTTATAGAGCCAGTAAAGTACAATTTGTTAAACTTTATTAACAGCTTACTGCAATTAAAGATGTAATCATACTAGAGTAATTGTAAATATTATTCTGTGTTATCCCTACTTAGTGATATTTAGATAACTAGTGATGCAGTGTATTCCTGATTACACACTTTAGGCCCACCAGTAAAAGCAAATATTATTTTGTTATAGATATACATATATGCAGCTTAATAAATGATAAAGTGAAATGAAAGAAAAATTGTAGTGCTGTTAAAAATTCTAGAGTTTACAAACAAGTTAATATATCAAGGTATAAATATTTTTTCCTCTTAACATATATACACAACCTACCAATAAGTAAATATACACCTACTCCAAAATTAATGCCATTTTATTAAATAAATAATCAAGAAACAAAGGATATGATATTGACATTAATATTTAGTGCTTCTGCTCATTGCAATACTTAAAGCAGAAACACAGTTACACATCATATTTACAAGATCTGAAATTGGGTTTGTTGGATTTCACTTCACTAATAGCTAAGAACTTGGATGAGGGTGTTCTTAGAAGTTGATTGTTTGGGATGACAATCAATGACAGACCACACATTCGTGATAGGGTTCATATCTGTCAGTTGGCTTGGCCACGGAAGAGTAGTAACACCCTGATCCCCAAACCATCATTTCTTTATAAATTTAAGCTGAATGAGCTTAATAAGCTGAATTAGACAGATAAAAGGCCTTGTTCAAGAATTGTGATAAGCAACAGTGACCATAGCTTTGCATACAGCAAATAGCACCCTACACCATAACAGAAATACAACTAGGAGGGTAATTCCCAAACTCAAGTTCATTCACTCTTCAAGAATTGTACAAATCTAAAGTCATATAAAAAATTCAGTGTCTCAAAAAGTTGTAAGGTGTGATAGCATCTTGCATCTGTCTTGCAACAATAGTGGCCTTATAACTCTTTCAATACAGGGTTGGTCAATGTGAGGACCTTGAACCATTTTGTGCTTGTTATAGTTTTCATGCTATAACTTTTAAATTAGCATTCACAAAATTTGGCAGATTATCAGTAAACATTACAATGTTTTCATACGCAAAGTAACTAATTTTTTATTAAGTTGTAAGGTTTATAAAGCAATGTTTCTCTCGTGCCTTTTTCTTCTTTTCATATCATGCCTATCTATCATGCAAAGTAATTTTAATTTTAAGAGTGAAAATACTTTTATGCATCAGAAAATTTTCAAATTTCACATGCAAAATCTTTCTAATGTCCAGATAGTTATCAAATGTTTCTGAAGAAAAAACTTTATATTTTATCTGTTATTTTCAGTAATTAATCTCTGTATGGGTTTGGTAGATTTGAACGATCTCGCAACAACCATAAAAAATTAGGAAATAAACATAAATTATGCCTCTTTCATTCTAGAATAAACACAAATTGTAACACGAAAACATAAATGTTTAGACGAAATAGTTAAATCTCATAACATTATACATTTATATGTATTTATTATTTTTATTATATTGACCTTTCAGCTGTGCCTGGCTAACAATACAGAAGTTACAATGATGCGGCACACATGCACTCATGTTACCATATCCAATAACATAAAATTGACCTTTGGTCTGTACAAAGTAACTTGTCTTCACTGTGTTTTAGTAGACTGGTATTTTGTAAAATACAGTCACATTTCAATTATTATGTATGTATATAGATTATTGCTATTTTGAAATAAGTTCTAAAACTTATTTTTCTTAAAGCATAGAACAGTAAATAAAGAAGTAAAGCAAACAATTATCTCTTCTGGTTATGACCTTTGTACTCAGTTGCTGCTTGACATAGGTTACTAAGCCTTTAAAAATTTTGCACGTGGAGGATATGAAACAAAATATATTTTTTTAGGTTTTTTATATACATTT